GGTCCTCGACCGTAGCCGCCGCCGCCGTACTGGTCACCGTACGGCGGTGGTGAGTAGTTAGAGCCGGTCGAGGAGTTTCCGTAGTTTCCGTTAGCCCCCGAGCCGTAGCTGTAACTCGATGAGGAGTGGTGCGACCCGTAGTGGTGAGAGGAGCCGTTGTTTGAATGTGAAGAGTGGTAGCCACCGTGATGGCCGCCGCCGCCCCCGCTCGAGTAGCTACTGCTGTTGTAGCTCGAGTACCGGCCGTAGGGCTTCGAGCTGCTGCTGCTGCTGCCGCCACTCACGTAGGGATTCGGCGGATGGGGATTGTGGTGATGGCTGTTGTGATGAGAGGACGCGCCGCCGTAGGGACCGCCGCCGCCATAGGGACTGCTGCCGTAGGGGTTGTGCGGCGGCGCTTGGTGGTGGTAGTTCATCTCCGCCTTGGGCACGGCGTGGCTGACGTGCACCGAGATGCCCTTGATGATGTGGTCGTCGCCAAAGAGCTCCGGCGTCACCTCCTGGTTAGCGGAGAGCTCGCTGAAGGTGACAAAGGCGAAGCCGCGAAAGGGCTTCGGGATGAAGATGTCGCTGATGTCGCCGTACTTGTTGAAGTACTCCCGCAGGTCGTCCACGGTGATCTCCGAGGTAATCCGCCCGATGAAGATCTTCCGACAGAACTGGTCGGCGCCGGTGCTGGTGCCGTTGCCGCCAGCGGCGTTGAAGCCACCACCGCCCATCCCCAGTCCTCCCGGGGCGCCATCCTTATTCAGGGGAATGCGCACGTCGCACCAGCGACCGTCGATGCAGTGCCGCTTTGTGATCGCCTTCACCTGGCTCTCAAAGTCGGCGAAGCGGATGAAGCCGAAGCCCTTCGACTGGCCCGTCTTGGTGTCCTTCTTCACCTGCGCCATCAGCAGCTCGCCAGTCTCCTCGAAGTACTCGCGCAGCTCCTTGTCGGTGGTTTTCCAGGCCAGNCTTCGACTGGCCCGTCTTGGTGTCCTTCTTTACCTGCGCCATCAGCAGCTCGCCCGTCTCCTCGAAGTACTCGCGCAGCTCCTTGTCGGTGGTTTTCCAGGCCAGGCCTAGGACAATCAGATCGGAGCACTTCTTCTCGTCGTAGCGCTTCACCTTGGTCGGCACGGCGCTCTCCTCTTGGTCGTCCAACTTTCTCTTGTTGTCGGCTGTTTACAATCATCATAGTCATCAGAAGTTGACAGTTAGTAAATTAGGTTATCAACAATGCAGGAAACAGAACAAACCTTTGGGAAAGCAGCAGTAGTACTGCTCCACGACGGACCAGCCCTCGTCGGGCGCCTGCAGTTTGCCGTCGGTCAGCCTGAGGCCTCTCATTGTGCCGCTGTCCGCATTGCGGTACTTCAGCCCACAGGCGCCGGGAAAGACCGATGTCAGCGTCGTCAGAAGTCTGTAGAGCGAATAGAATAGGAATAGAAAAAAGAATGCACAAAAAAAGGTTTCGAAATAAAGAGCCTTACACTGTATTGTCGGTTTCACATGGCACCTCCATCGCCTCGTCCTCCTCCGGCGACTCGGCGACCTTTATGTACTGCGTTGCCATGGCTGGCTGCTGCTGGTGATGTAGGGGATGATTTTCTGAAGATCACCTGATGAGATACCGCTTCGGCTTTTTTGTCCAAAACACACGGGACCAAAAGCCGGCTAAACAGAAAGCGATAGAGTGTGTGTGTGAGAAAGAGCGAAGATTCGGCAGTTCTTTTGCTGCTNTTTGTCAGAAAAAAAGTTGTGCAGAACCCTCCGCAGAAGACGTTTAAAGTGCAGCACGCGCCTTGCTCGCTCGACTTTTGTACCGCTAAACAGTCGATCCATTTGGAACAACTGCCTTTGTCAGCTCTCTTGCATGGAGAGTTCCTCATCATCATCTTTAAAAAACAGCCATGGTCCCCTTTAAGCACCTCAAGCTGGGCGTTTTTCTATCGCTCAGCGCCGTAGCTGTGGCCGTGCTCGCTTTTGGTTTGTTATTGTTTACCAAAATGTAAAAACGGGTTACGCTAACCATTTTCCACTTTTTCAGCGATTCGATACTTCTTTCTCGCCGAGTACTATCCACATCTGTTTACCCAGACGGAAGCTGCTTATGGCGGTGATAAGCTAGAGGAGCGAGCCGCGCAGGCACGAGCAAAAGATGATGACCATCACAGCTACCACGACGAGGGCTACCAGGACCTGTGGCGGTACTGCAACTTTCTCGAAAACATCGTCATCGGCGACGAGGCTGCCACGGCGTCCAGTGAACAGGAGCTAGCCAAGCTCGGCCTGAAGCTGACGAAAGTGATTGTCCTCATTCGTCATGGCGCCCGAGGACCGCTGCGGCCGATGAGCAGTCCGAGCAGACCAGAGGACCACAAGGTATGTGATCTGAGCTCGGTGAAGGAGGCCGACTATTCGGTTTTTGGCCGTCTGGCTAAGCAGCTGGCTCGAAACGCCAAGGAAAGTCTGAAGGCGCTTGCCGATCGCCTCCGCCTGCCGGCGGACTTTCTGGACTTTCCCAATCTTGACGCCCACTCTGACTGTCAACTGGCCCGACTCACCGTCCTCGGTCTGGCTCAGCACATCAAACTTGGCTACCTTCTCGGTGGAACTTACTCCAACCGATTAGGCCTCAGTTTGAAAATTTGGAAAGAGGCAGTAGCTGTCGCCAGCACTGAGTTCAGTCGAACCTTCCAGTCGGCGGTGGCCCTGCTCTACGGCCTCACCAGTCATCTGACG